AGCCCGGACACTGTAGAGAACCATGTCCCAGAGGCCCAGGTACACCTGGAAACAGGGCAGTCACCACCCACTGCCAATCACCGACCCCAAGCAACAGTGACTGGGCACCTTGAGAGCCAACAAGAATTAAAACCCTACAGAACATGGCCTGGGGACAAGGTCTGAGCATGCTGGTCAGCTCAGAGGTCTTTGTGACAGAGTCTGCCCCTACCAAGCGAACCGGGTCTGAACAGCCACCCCTAAAATGTTGATGGAGGGCAAAGGCAGGCGATGTGGGATGTAAGAGAAACGCAGAGGGTCCGCCCAGCCATCCGGCGTGAAGATGGTGCATGACAAGCTAGCCCCAGACAATGCTCTATGACGCATGCAGGCAAGGAGCACACACAGCACTACGGCTGGTACCCTCCCCAGTGGAAGGGTGCCTGGGTGCCTGGTGTGCAGCCATCCAGTAGACACCTCCACTGCCAAGTCAGAGACCCCACTTCTTTACCTCTACATAGGCCGCACTACTTAAAAAGGGAGGACCACTGGATGTGCTGGTCCACACCTGTGATCCCAGTACTCTGGGGGGCTGAGGCAGGAGGATTGCAAGTTTGAGCCTAGCCCAGGCAATGTGGCAACTTAGGAAGCCCCTGTCTCATGATAAGGTTTAAAAAGGGCTGGGGATTTAGCAAAGGACTAAGACCCTGGATTAAATCCCCAGTATGGCAAATAATAAAAACACATTAAATTGGACCAGGATTTAGCTCAGTGGCACTGTGCCTGCCTCACAAGCACAAGGTCCTGAATTCGATCCTTGGTACCAAAAAAAAAAGGGGGGGGGGATCACATTAAATTAAAAAGGGGAAGGGCCAAGGATTTAGCTCAGTGGCACCACGCCTGCCTCGCAGGTGCAAGGTTCTGAGTTCAATCCCTGGTACCAAAAAAATAAGTGGGATGGGGGAGAGGATTTAGCTCAGTGGTTTCACCACCCGTTGCACAAAGGCAAGGACCCAAGTTCAATTCCCATACCAAAAACAAAACAAAACAAAACCAAAAGCAGGGGGAAGAAAGAGTCTCACTGTGGTTCATGGTCAGTAGAAGGGTTCTGGGCTCCCCATATTTCTCACAAATCCTGGAAACAACCACCTTGAGAAGTAGGTGGGATGTGACAGGGACAAGTGGCGGCAGGTGCCCAGTGCCCGCTGCCCACACTCTGCTATCCCTGACCCTTTACACCAGAGGTGGCAAACCCAACTGGCTCCAGGAACCCTCTGGCATCTGCCACCTTCACAGGACAGCTGCACCAAGGCCAGGCCAACTTCCAACAGCTGCATGGTGAGGAAGATAACCAGATGGCTTCTGGTGCCCACCTGACTGCATTGCTCAAGGCCCAAGGCCCTGGGACCACAACACCATAGGGCCTTGCTCCTGCTAGGGTGCTTTCCCACCTTGCTGCATCAACAGGTGCCACTAACGCTATTGCTAAAGAAGGTGCTGAAGCTGCCACCCTCGAGTGTCATAGGTCATCTGGGAGCCAGAGCTGGCTCCTCATTCTCCTGGGATACAAGACTACGACCACCAGAAGCCATGGCCATCTGCTCAAGAAGCCCCCTTCTCCATGCAGGGGCACTTGGAGGACAGTGCAGAGGGTCCTTCGGTTTCAGGCTGCTTTAATTCTGAGTTCGCAGCAGACCCTAACCCCAGCACTCTGTCCCTGGATTCCAGGGGCTGCCTCGTCTTCCTCTCCTCACTGTCCTCCCTGGCAAAGCCTGAGGGGCCAAGGGTGATTTCCCAGGGGATATCAGGAAGCTGTCCTATTCCCCCCCCCCTTCATCTTTCATGAAATTCCCCGAGGACACAGCTCCCAAGGGAACTGAGCCACCAGGAAAGAGGTCAAAGTCTGTGTTACGGATTCTTCCAGGAGGAAAATCAAAACTGTACATTTTATTCTTGAATTTTTAATCAGCAGGGCCAAGGACAAGCATCCTTCTTTGCCAAGGCAAACACCATTCAGAACTGCAGTTGAGGCAATGCAAGGGCCAAAGCAAACAGCTGAGCCGCACCACCGGGTGACACTGAGCAGGGCTACATCCCAACCTTTCCAACAGGCGATGCCAGCACTTCTGCAAGTGCCAACCCAGGCAAAGGAGCAGCCCATAGCAGGGAGCCATAGGCGGTGTGGTCCCGAGAGAGGACAGAGCACAGCGGTACCTGGACCGGCTGGACCGGCCCAGATCTGCACACAGATGACTTCGGCTATCTCTTGACTGTGCCTCTGGGTTTCTGTCTGGCCAACGTGCCAAGCTGCCCAACCCGTATGGCACTGCCACAGTGCTGTGAGCTTTCCAGTGACAACACACAAAGTACAGGACTCAAAGACTCAACAGTCAGGGCCCCAGAGGACAGCACAAACCCCCTACCTTCTAATCAAACAGCCTTGTAGAGTAGAGCCTGTCCCTAGGGCAGGAGGAGCCCCAGAGTAGAAGAGCCCTTCAGACACCTACAGCCTGTTTGTGTCCAACCCTGAAAGCAATCCTATCAAGATCTCATCTGGAGGACTGGGGATATAGCTCAGTGGCACCGCGCCTGCCTGGCAAGCACAAGGACCTGAGTTCGATCTCCAGTACTGAAAGGGGGGGTGGGCTCTCATCTGCACACCTTCCACAGGCCCAGCAAGTACAAAACACAGAATCCATGTGTTTAGTGTAAGCCTCAAACCTGCCATACTTGGGCCAGAGGGACGAAAAGCGCCCGTGTGCCCTGATCTGGACAGTGTTTCTGCCACCACAATGAGCCTCCCTTCAGCCACCCAGGTCGATGACAGCTGCGTCTGGGTGAAGCTGCAGCGCTGAAACTGCAGGCTGACGTCCGGAGATGTTATTAAGGGTGCCCTCGGAGTTCCCTGGAGCAAAGCCGCTCCACACACCCCTCACGGTCTTCACTGTGAAAGTTCCTGTTTAATGGTTTCAATTTTTCAATTCAGAAGCAGGAAAACTGTGGGGGGGGGGACTGTGACCAACACTTCTCTTCCAACCTCCACAATAACGAGCAAACTGTAATGGAACTAATGACTAATGATTTAATAAACCTCCCTCCCTTGACAGCATGTGCTTCCACGGAGCAACAAAGCCAGCAACGTACACATACGCCACAGATTCCCCACAATTCTGAACATAAAACCCTTTTAAAGGCTGTTCCAAATCCTGTTTACCAGCAGCTCCAACATGGCTTCAGAGCTGCCTTAGCACCCCCATCCGCCTTCGGGATTCCTCCAGACCCACTAGCCGCAACTTCAAAGCCTGATTAAAAGCTGTGTTAAAGTATAATCTGCTCTCTGGACTCCAGCTGAAACCAAAGGGGCCACCCCAGAAGCTTCCATCTGGCCGTCGGCAGCCTGGGCGAGCCAGTTAAGAGATCTCGGGCCACGGGCTAAAAGGCACAGCCATGGCTGGTTAACACAATTAGAAACTGTTGCTCCGAGAACGGGTCGGGTCGCAATCCCATTCAGCTGCCGTGAACCAGCAACTCCATATGAAAACCAGCTGCTCTAATCGCCAGCCTTTCACTTAACCTTCAGACACAGTTGTGAAAGAAAGCATATCTTTGTAGAAGGACGCCATGGACCGGCCAGGGCAGGGATTTGTCTCTTGAGAAAATGCCCCAGGGAGCTGCAGCCCGCCTGGTGCCATCCAGAGCAGGGCTGTGTGGCTGGGGGTGGGGGCCTGGACTGAGGGAATGGAAGCTGAAGAACAAAAACCCCGGGGCCTGTCCATCTGCACACAGGCACAAACGCGCCCGGGAGGGGGTGGAGAGTCGGCTTCCAGGGGCTCTGCGGTTGTTACATGGGAAACTGTCATTTCACAGATGAGGACGTGAATGCGACTCCTAACACATATCTGAAGCCAAGGCAGGCGCGTCAGCCTCCTACACAATTGGTCTTCTCCCTCCGCGGTTACATAAGATGATGGATTATCTGTCCACCCATCCAACCTGCCCGCGCTCGACCTCCCACCTTGGGCCACGTCCTCTAACGCGGGGAGTTGTAGAAAGGGAAAGCCTGCTAAGAAAGTGCCCAAGGGCTGGCGTGACCGCGAGTGGAAGAGCCCCACGACTCCAACCGGGCACAGGGTGACGGGCGACGGCGGCCTGCCGCCCCCACGAAGCCCCTCAGCTCGCTCCACTCAGCTCTCCCCAGGCTTGGAAGGGACCCGAGGGCTCTCGGACCGGGCGCGGCTCCGTTCCCCAGACGCCCAGCGGGCGCGCAGAGGGGCGCGCGGCGGCCGAGCAGCGCCGTCGGGGTGGGGGCGCCCGCCATAACTGGGCCGCGACGGGCGGAGGGGGCTCGGGCGGGCGCGGCCACCTGTGACTGGCCAGCACCAGGCTCACCACGCCCGCGCCCAGAGGCCGGGCAGGAAGATCCTGGAGGGCTCGGGCCACTGGGCTCCAGGCCGCCCGGTCGGGACCGAGCCTGGAGGCGGACTCTGCCAGGCGCTGGGGCTCACCTTGTAGACATTTTCCGTGAGCCGGTGCATCTCCTCTGAGCGTGACAGGGACATGGTCTTGGGTCCGGGCTGCACCACAGACCAGAGCGGGGAAACGGGCGGCGGAGGCGGCAGCTGCACGGGGAAGTAAAGTGGCGCGTACCCAAACCACAGAGCACAGTTCCCGGCGGCAGCCGACTTTATAAGTCGCGGTCGGCCCCGCCTCTCCCAGGCCCCTCCCCTCTCCCCGCCCCCGCCGCACCCAGATCACCGCCCCCGGCCGCCCGCCCCCGCCCAGCCTCGCGGATGCTAGGCAACCGCCAGGCCCGCTACAGCACCGCCTTTTCCATTGGTAAGTTCCGGGGGCGCGGGCGGAGGGCGGGCTCAGGGGCGTAGCCCGAAGGTCAGCTCCCGGCTGCGATTGACCGGCAGCGCCGTCGATCCGGGGAAGCAGGCGGAGGCGCGGCGTGGGCTGGGGCCCCGGAGCAGCCTGAGGGGGCCCGGCGACAGCCGGGCTGGGGGCGGGGAGCGGGGGCGGGGTGGCGCAGGAAGAAGGCGCAGAAGGTGGGGGGAGGCGCGCGGAGGCGGCACTCCGTGGGGCAGTGGCCCGGCGGCCGACCCGCTGGGGTCTCGGCCTGGCGCTGCGGGGGTCTGGTCGTGAGGCCAGGAAGGCGGAGGGGCAAGTTAGTCCGCAGGTTGGTCCTCGAGGCGGGCGGCTACCCGGCGGGCCTTCGGGGAGCCAGGAGAACCGCGACTGGGACCGGGTAGGGTGGGCCCTCGGGCGGCAGCGGGAGATGGGCAGGCGGGCGGGGGGCCTTGGGCCTAGGATTCTGGTGGGAAAGAGGGCTCTGGGAGGATCTGGAGAGTGGAGGTTGAGCGCAGCATTCTTCCGCGAGGACTGGGGGACCTGGGGAGGGAGACGGGGAACGGGAGGCGAAGCGCCCCGTGGGGACAGGGAGGGGGTCCCTGGCGGGGAGGTGGAGGAGCGCGAGCCCAGCCGGGTGTTTTAGGGAAGGTCCTTAGAAGCTCTGCCGAGGAGGCTGGCGCCCCGGGTTCCAGTACAGTACCACTGGGGAGATATTTACATAAATTAGACGAACACAGAGGAATGATTTGCTTTACGTTGTAAAACACCAGATCTGAATGTTTTCATGTGATTAAACCTGACACTCTCCGCCTGCATCCCGTTCCTGGACAGGCGGCCACTCGTTCATTCCTTCAACAAGAACAGGCTTCCAGAGGACACAGATCCACAGGGGGGCTGTCAGAGCCCCAGACAGGCAGCCGGAAGCTCAGGCAGGTCCCGTCCTCCACGCGGCTGCATGTGGATGAGGGGAAAAGGAAGTGGGGTCCGGGAAGCCGCCTCTGCCTGGCTTCCCTTCCTTCAGCTTCGGACACTGGCCTTCTCCTGTTCTTCACTGCCTCCAGTGTCTTGAGGTACACCGCTGTGCATTTCTCTTCTGTGATTCTTTTGGTTGCAAGTGACAGCCAGTTCTGTCTGGCTCTCACAAATGAGAGAATTTATTGACTCAGGAGACTAATAAGTCTCAAGCTCTTCTTTTCCCCTGTTCCATTTGCCTGGGCCAGTGCCCACTCCACTGGACCACTTACCATCCTGGCCCTCGGACTGGTCCTTCTGACCTGAGCCAACCTGGAGCTGGTGGGCACAGAGGTGCAACTTTTTGCCTGCCTAGCAGCAAAGACAAGAGGCCTCCTCTCTGGGATAGGGAAATTAGCCTGTGGAGAATTCATCTCCAGGTCTTGGTTCAACTCCCTGCAGCCTCCAGACAAGAGAGGGCAGGGGAGCCCCTCCAAAATAGTTTCCCTGGTCCAGGCCTGTTCCACCAAGTTTCCCACAGACTTTACCGGATCGCCTTACCCGTGATTACCCTGGGAGTGTTCCAGGGGGCACACTCACCTGTGGTGACCTGAGAGACTCAGAGCCCAGGCTGCCTTCCAGCAGCCTCTGGGCTGGGCCTGCCTCTCCACCTGGCAGCTGGGCAGGAGGCCGGAACAGAAGGCTGCAGAGAGAAGAGGCCCATCAGAACACCCGCCTTCCTGAAAATGAACACGCATCCCACATGGCACCTAACACTGAGAAAAGACACTGTGGCTGGTGGCAGGTCTGGGCAGGATTGCCTAGGAATGGGGGACGAGGGAGAGCCCATGAGGCCTGCCTGCTCCTGCCTTGCACCTCCAGGGACAAGTTCCTGCCTTTTCAGCTCATGGAAGGAAGTCCTAGCCCCAGGGGAGACTTCACCAGCCACCACTGAGGCCTTTCCGACTTAGGTAGCAGCCCCTTTTAATAGTGTGTGTGTGAGCCAGATGTCATGGCGCACGCCTGTGATCCCAGCACTCGGGAGGATGAGGCAGGAGGATTACCGTGAGTTTGGGGCAAGCCTGGGCTATATAGTGAGTTCAGGGCCAGCCTGGACTACAAAGGGAGACCCTGCCTCAAGAAAACAAATGACAAAAAAAATAGTGTGGGGGGATGGGTACCAAGGGTAGGCACTCAGGTCCTGGGAGTGGACAGGCAGGCTGCAGGGCTGAGTGTCCACAGACTGCCCGACACCGGCTTGAGGTGGCACCTTGAGGCTGCTCTGGCCAAAACCCTGTGAGTTTTGGAGAGATTCAAGCCCTTTGCAGACTCTATCTTGTTCCTGCCTCTCTGGCTCTGTTAGACTGGGCAGTGGGGTTGACTGGGCTCTCCCCACACCCCTCTCCTGCAAGACTGCCAGCCGCCACGCCCTTCCAGACCCTCTGCCTCTCCCCAGATTAGCGTCCTGTTCTTCAGGCTCTGTGGTGGGGACAGGGGCGGAGTTCACAGTCCAGGTTCCCGGGTGGGGCTTGGAGGTGGTTTCTGCAAATGAGCAGCTCCTCTCGGGAATCACCCAGCACAGAGACAGACGGGAACCCATACGCTCAGCTTTCGATCTGTTTTATGACTGTCCTTCCTTGGCTGGCATGGTGTTAGCAAGGGGGACTGTAGCCATGGAGATCTGTGGCCCCCAGCTCTGAACCTGAGAGTCCACTGCCCCTTGTTCCAGCCTCGGACCCTACACACACAGAGTGGTGAGCTGGGGGCAGAGGCAGGAATGACCTCATACCTAGACCTGACCCCCGAGCTCCGATGCTGACCCCAGGTCAGCAGCACTGGTGGGCAGCATGGGGGACAGGCTAGGGACGGGGAGCACCATCATGCAATGTCTCCAGCAGCTTATTTTTAGTTGTGTTATGTAAGTGGCTTCATCTCAACGTCACGTAGGAAGGGGGGGGTCTCAGATTTAATTACAGGATGACAGCCTTTGCCTTTGAAGCAAGCTGTTCTCCTGGCAAGGCAGGCACAAGGATTGTGAGTTTTTGCTCAACACGAGTCCATCCAGCAAAACTTTAACCTGTTTTCACCGCTCTCCCTGTCTCTCTGACCTCCTCACCTGGCTCTGGCTGAGCTGGCCTGAGAGGGTGGCCCTTGGTCTGAGAACCCGGAACAGCCTGTTCCGGTCAAGGGAGCACTCTGCACCCCCTTCCTTGGCAGCTTCACTGTCTCTCCAAGGGAAGGAGCCACCCAGGCAGAGCTCCTCCTCCTTCTTTCCCCAGACCTGGACTGAAGCTCTTGTAATCATAACCAGAAAGTTCCGGAGCAGAAGAGAATGGAAGGCACAGGAGCCGGGTTCACTCAGGCTTCCGGGACAGTGTTGGGAGGGCCGGGTGTGTGCTCTCTGCTGTCCCTGGCCTTGCTGCCTGCTCCCTCCCAGCACTCCTGGTCCCTGGAAGGTAACTGTGCACACTGCATGGGACACTGCTCTCCTGGTTCCCGGAGAAGCTGAACAGCTCACTGCCTGCTTTATGCCCTGGGAGGGGAGCTACCCAGTTGGGAGTCCTGCTCCCTGCCTGCACAGGAGCCATCTTGGCCCCTTTGTCCAGTGTGTAGAGTAGGACCATGGTTCCATGGCAAGCTGTCACCTACAGGGGTGAGGAGAGGGTGAGATCTACTCTGCAGGGGTACAGGGGGGATGCAGCTTGGGAAGCAGGCTTGCGGGGAGAAGAAGGTTGGGGAGAGTTAGTTCTAGGAGCTTGTCACTCCCTCTCCTTTGTGGGCAAGATGGGGCTCCCATGGTTGCTGGGCAGGTTTCACAGACTCTCCGAGTGGCCATGAATGGAGGTTAGGGTTAGGCTGCAAAGCGATGTTGGGAGGAGCCAAGGCTCTCAGAGACCCTGGCCTGGTGAGTGCTGAGCCCTCAATATGTTTTAGAGAGCGCTGCTGCTGTTAGGTTGGATGGGACATCTCCAGAGAGTGCCCAAGTGCTGCCCAGAAAGTCCCATTTGTTAGAGGCTGCCCTTTAAAAAGTGAGGGTGCCTGAGGCAGTGGAGCCCACTCCCTCCTTACCTGCGGGCTGTGTGTAAGCATTCTTCCGAGAGCACACTAAGGAAGGGGGAAAGAGCAGCTTCCTAGCCAGGAACCTCACCACCATCTGCTCGGTGGCAAGACCAACACCACTGAGAGGTCATGGAGACATCAGGCTCTGGATGCGATAGGACCTGTGGACGCTCTGCCTCTGATCTTCCTCTCCAAACCCATCTGATGGTGAGAGAAACATCACAACTGTCAAGGTCATCAAAGACAAAAGAAGTCTGAGAAACTGCAGCCAAGAGGAGACAGGACAACTGAAGGTCACATGGGAGCTTGTGTGGGACCCTGGACAGGACACTGGAGAAGTCTGAATAAACTTGTCTTAGTGATAATGTGTAGGCATTGGCTTAACCACAGCAGATGTGCCACAGCCCTCTAGGGGTGTGTGAATTCTTACAGGCATATTTAGGGAAACCTAAAACTATTTTGGGATTAACTTCATTAAAGGGGGCAGTGGTCTTGGCACAGGACTGTAGGGGCCTGAAGGTGAGTGCCGGTGTCCCACCCTGGAATCTGTGGGACCCTGCATCCCCTCTGCCCACTTCGGGATCTGAAGACGGAGCAGTGGCCCCGGGGCTCAGTACAGCTGGTCAGGGAGCACATTGGAGGCCGGAACTCCGAAGAGGGACCAGTCTATGAGCTGGTACAGTGCACGCTGTGACCGTGGCCGCACTGCCCACGAAAGCCAAGGTCGCAGTGTGGAGGTCCAGCTGGTGGCTGGCCGCCTAGACTGCGTCTGGGGTTCACTACCCTTGACCTCCTCTGCTTCAAGGGCTTTCTTTTCGCCGGCCATAGATGGGGCAGATGGGCCCCTGACAGCCTGCGATGTCCCATGCTGCCTGTCCCTCGGGCACCTGGAGCGTGAGTGCGGAGGAGGGTCCCCACCTGGCCCCTTCCTGCTGTGATCCAGCTTCCACTGTTTTTTTTTTTTTTTTTTTGGTACCGGGGATCGAACTCGGATCCTTGCGCTTGCGCAGCAGGCGTCAAAACCACTGAGCTTGAAACCACTGAGCTAAATCCCCGGCCCCCAGCCTCCACTCTTAAAGGCAGCCTAGAAAGTTCCAGCCCCAGCCCCCCACCCAGGCCCAGCACAGAGGAATGAGGGCCCTTCTGCTGAGCATTGAGGGGACAGGAGCTGTGGCCTTCCTCTGTAGGGTGAGGTTTGGAAAGAGGTTCCCCAGCAACTGGCCCTCTTATGTAATCTGCACCTTGAGTCGGCGGCGTGACTCCAGTCCCCGTGGGAGGCAGCATGAGGGTGCGTGCAGGGGTGAGAGCGGGCCTCGACGTCTCCTCGGGCGCCTCTCCTCCTCTCCCACATCTCAGCGTCATCCTGTCTGCCAGCTCGGTCACCCACTTGCCTATCAGAATACATTAACTGACAATGCAGACTTAAATAACTCGGGCAGGTGACAGGCCTGCTGGGAGCCCACTGCACCCACCGGGCCCTGCTGTGGGGTCGGGTAAGATGGGAGGACCTGGGTCCGGAGAAAGGATTCCGGTGCCCAAGGATCGGGGCACTGCCTGCTTCAGCCCCAGGCAGGTGGGTGGGGAGAGTGCGGGGCAGGGTTAGGTGCGCTGGGCACCTCTGGCCAGGCTGAGTTTGGGGTGGGGGATATGGGTGGGTGCCCATGGTATGGTACCATCCTGCCTGGCCCGCAAGGGAAGCCTTGTATGGGTGCAGAGACTTGCGGTGGGAGGGCTCAGTGATGGGGTGGGCGGAAGTCCAGATGGCGTCAGCGCTGCACACCACAGGACTTTTGAAGGGCGAGGGCACAGAGAGCAGCCGCTACCCAGGAGCAGCTCAGGGCTGTTGTGTGCACCCGCTGCTCCTGGGGCCCGGGGAGGGGCGTGGGCTCTGTGGTCACTCAGCCCCTTCCCTCCCCACAAAGACAGAAGACAAACTTTGCATCACACTCAGTAAGATAACTCATTTACCCCCGAACAGGAAAGCGTATCCTTGTTTTCTTACCTCTCTACCCTTACCCTGACTTGAATTGCCTTAAAAGTAATGTGCAAGGTGTTTTGGGACGCGGGTGGAGGGAGCTTGTTCGGAATCTGAAGTTGGGGGACGCCCCGGAAGTGGCCTGTGTGTCCCCGGGGACCCTGCACTCCGGAGACGGCAGCGTTGTGCCTGGCATCCCCACTCTGCCTGCGGAGTCAGAAGCCCAGACGTTGACGTTCGGCTTCGCAGATGGCTTCCCTGCCCAGGGCTGGCTGGCTGATTCTAATTTCAGCTGCTGGAGGCTCCGGGCGCTCACTCTCTTTTTTTAATTCTACGTTTATTTAAAGCCAGATTTTTGAAATGTTGTCTTCAGCCCTGAAATCTGACTTTTTCTTCTTGCAGATCTCCAAACCCCACCTGGAGCTCCCCCCCCCCCACCGGAGGGGGTAGAGGAACTTTGCCCCACTGTACGACACCATGTGATGAACCTTTGGAGGACTGGCAGGGTCCCCTTCCAGCAGTCCCAGCCCCTCAGCACAGAGTGCAGAGCTTGCTAGTGCACGTCCTGTGTTTCCAGATACAGAAGGAGACGCTGGGGGCAGCTCCCGTTGGGGGAGGAGCATAGTCACCTGGTGCTGATGGTCCGAATGGGAATGGGAAGGGCTGCCCTGGGGCCATCCTGAGTTTCCCCGCCACAGTCATCCTGCTCCAGGGCCTAATGTGGTCCAGGTGCGTACCCCTGGAGGTGGATTGACGACAGCTGCTTACTGGGCTGAGTCCCCTGTCTTGTTACAGCCTCAGGGCTCAACATTCCCCTCATCCACTGAGCCACGCCAGTTTCTCCTTGCTCACCCTCACTGGGAAATCCAGGACACCAAAGAGGAATTGGGTTCAAACCTAGTATAGGACCAGCATTCAGCGTTCTGGAGCATTGACCTGACCCTGGTTCTACAGGAAAACACCGCTGGTCACCCAGTGTTTATTACTCAAGGTCAGACTCGGGCCATGGGGACTCTGTCTCTTGCATGAAAGGGGGATGTCTTAGGGAATTGGACAGGGGAGAGGCAAACCAGCTGCCAGGAATTTGGGTGGGGGGATGTGGGGGGAGGACACCTCAGGAGGAAAGAGTGTGTTCACCTGACTGGGAATGAAGGCAGCAAGGGCCGGAGGGCTCACTGTGGAACTGTGAGGTCACCCGAGGGCCTCAGAGCTGCCCTGAGGGCTGGGGCTGGGGCCTACAGAGTGGGCACAGCTGGGGCAGTGGCCTGAGGACTGCCTGAGATGTTGGCCAAGTCCCCGCACAGCTGCTCTGCCAGTTTCCAGCCAAACTAATGCGAGAGCTACAGAGGCCCGAAGGGGGTGGGTGCCATTTGGAGAGAGAGCAAAGCAGTTCTCCCCAAGCACTGCAGACTCCTGCCAGGGCTGCTATGCTCTTAAAAAGTGGGGAGTGTTGGGATGGTGTCCCTGGCACGTCTGGTCAGAAAGTAGTATGATTTCCAGAAAAACTATTGGAGTGTTAAGCTTTAGAATGTCATTTCTCCCAGCAGGCTTGTTTTCTCCCAAAGTTGGAAGACGGAGTTCTTTGTTGAGGTTCATGGAAAACTAGCTCTCTGCTAGCTGTCCAGATGAAAAGAATATTCCATCCCCTGGGGAAGGACAATTACTCTACACAGATTCGGGTGACATTTTACCCCCAGTACAGCCAGAGGTCGACTTGATGTGACCTTTGCGAATGTCGCCTCTCTGCCAGCAGAAGCCAGGATCCCAATATCTGGCAGCTCGCTCCCTGGAATCTGCTATTAATTCTCACCTAGATTTGGAGATTTTTCTTTGCAGCCTCGGGAGCCAACAGTCCTTTGTGCCGCCTCAGGACTCTTTTTCAGAGTCCAGAGGAGCTGGAGCTCCTGGATTCAATTGTAACTTCTTACCTTCTTTGGTTCCTAGAGTTCCATTTGGGGAAACTCTGTGCCCTGGATTCTCATCAAAAATGTGGACACTGAGACTGTGGCAGGGACTCAGAGTCTCTTTCAAGGGCAAGAGCCAGTGGTTCCTAGTTTCAGGCCAGGTTCCAGGGCTTCAGTTGGAGGGAACCCTGGGACAGGGGAGATGCTGGGAAGACTTGCCCTCGAGCTGCAGCCTGGGCACTCAGACTTAGGACCGATGTCTTTGGAGTTTGCAGTAGGCTTTGCCCCATGGCAGAAGTGGTCACAGCCTTGAAACCTTTTGGCTGGCAACAGACTGGGAACTCCTTCAATCCCTGCCACGGCCCCAAGGCCAGACTTGGGGGGGGTGTGAATTTGCCATCGGGAACTCACCACTGCCCCCTGGTGGACAGCCAGAGAAAGGAGCTATGGGATGCCCAGGGTGGGGCAAGTGTGGAGGGTGTGAGGCCTAGGGGACAGGGCGGGGGAACAGGCTCCTGGGTGGACAGTCGGCCGGTGGAGTGCAGGGCAGTGGTGGGTTTGTAGGGCAATGGGGAAAAATAAGTTCAACTTGCTGGATGTCAGACTTATGGAGTCTGTGTCCCCTGAATTTCAAAAAATGAATTCCAAGGGACAAAGAAGGTCAAGAGTAGGAAATGTTTATTGAGAAAGCTCCTGAGAGTCAGGGGGGTCCCAAAAGGGATTGCTGCCGAGGCTACTTTTCCAAGAATGTTTCAGAGAGCAAAATCACAAGGTGAGTACAACGTGGGTCAAGCTACACCCCACCGATAGGGTTACAAGTATAGTCACTTAGCTGACACTACTGCAATAGAGAATGAGGCATGTAGCAAGGGTACATGGCTAGCATCATCAGTCTCAGGTTCCCTATAACTTCTAACATAGAACGAAGGCATTTGGGGGAGGGGATGGGTCCAGATGTTCTGGTCACCCGCTGGTATGCCTATCTGGACTTCCTGGACCTGGTAGTGCTAATTACAGTGGAATCTCAAGTTACTGTTTATCCCTTAGGAGGCTCCCAAGCCAGGCCATTGCGTCTCCATCTTGAGGCCTGGCCTTCTTCAGATGCACCTTCAGCCAGTTTTGATGTGTTCTTATCTTATGGGCTGACGCCACCGAGGGCCTATCCCTGTCTGATGCCTAAGACCCTCCTGGAATCCTGGGCTCTGCTCCTGGGACGTGCAGGACCTGGGTGAAGTCACAGAGCTGGGAGCTGCAGAGCGAACTTGTGGGGATGTGGGATCGCCTAGAAGCTCAGCACTGCAGGAAATGTCTCACCATGGCACTCATTTTCCAGGGACCCTACGGCATCTGTTTTAAAATTGAGGTCAAAGTCATAGAATATAAAATTAACAATTTTTTAAAAAGAGGCATGAGAAAGGTTTGTTGGAGATACAGGACGCACTCAAGACTGGGGTGCGGGTGCCCAGAGAAATGTGGCGTGATACAG